ATGTACCTGGTCGCAAATCGGGTGTGGGTGTTATTTCAGCACTGCCAAACGTTCTAAACACTTTATTAGCTATTTCTGTCCTGTGTGCTACCGATTCATCAACATACCCTTCAGCGACCGTTGATGACTTCCAACCGCCATGTTTCTTTAGTGTCATCAAGTCTCCCCCAGATTCAACTAAAAGTGTAGCAGACGATTTTCGAAATGAATGACCTGTATATGAATTGGCATTTTCAAGTTGAAGAAAATTAGCCACTGCTTCAGGTACCTTATAAAACGAATTGCTACCCACAACCTGATTCATACATTTTCCATTGCGATATTCATAAAACAGGCGGCTATCCTTTGCTGCTGCTGGACGAAGGGCTATGTACATTCGGTAAAATTCAATATATTCTTCAGTAACTACAAATCTCCTGTTTACATCATTCTTTGTTTGCTTGAGTTTCACAATTAATAAGATTTCCGAATCTTCAATACCATCTAATGTTACCTGGCTGATTTCACAAATTCGCTGACAGCCACATTGTCCTTTATGGTCCTCGGCCAGAAAAGTGTGACGACCTCTGCATTATATCCTATATCGAGGATCGTCTCTTCTCTCAGAACTGAACAAAGTACTAACAAAACAAGTTACGCGATTGGGGATCGGAAAGGTTGCGACCCCGTCATATTACTTCACTTTTTAATTGGATTTCTACAATTAATTGATGATTTATTCTATTCAATAAAGTCAATGAAATTATAGAGATCCCGATGAAGAGACAATAACTTTGATACCGACGATCAATTTGATATTATCAGTGTCAATGATAATAATAATATCAAATTTATTTACACCAAAAGACGAATCATAACTACAAATTATAATGTTTTGATAGGTTGAATAGCTTGGATAAAGAAAATGGATAGAGTCTTTAAAATGTCACCAGATAATACATATTTCGTTTAATATGCAAAATGTTTTTAATTCAAGTTAATAACGAATTTGATTTTTTTTTCCAAAAAGCTAATATCTACATTTGTATTTATTTGTAAATTTAATATTCTGATTATTTTATAGATCTGTAGAAGGTAACAATTCTAAATAATAAATTTGATATTTCAAATATAAATAAAATGTTTGAACAAAATTAGTTTTCACCATATTTTAATTATCTTCTCATCATACAGAATATATCAATGGAAAATTTATATTAATACCCCCAGTCCGACGCCTATTAATATTATCTTAAACGTAATATCAGAAAAAACATCGAGCGGTTCTTTTGACGGTATTTTCGCATTCTTCGTCAGTGTTTTCGCGTTCTTTGCCGCATATCCATATTTTAATGGCTCGTTAGTGGCGTCTTCAAGGGATATAGAGGGTAGACATATCTCAATGATTTTGTGGGTGAATTGCAGTGCTATTTGCTTGAGACCCGACTATGTTGCTTTCTTTGATGTAGCGACATGTTTGCATTCTTGAAATTCTTTTACTCTCAGACAATACTGAACGAACTATAGTATATTTTCTTGATTTCATACTCATCTAGTAAGTAGTTGCAGTTATGCTATGGAAATGTTATTGTTATAAAAATATATTACATTGACAATTATTTTTTCAAATAAGTATTTAAATCTTTACAGATGTTAATTTCATCACAATAGCTTCTTGTATAGCTCTTTAAATCATTTAGTGAAAATCTCATAGTAAATGAAGGATTAACCTACAACAAGCATTGAAAATTTCGATTACCCCATTATATAAATCTGGATTATTAAAATGTATCCATTATTTTTTACTAATCGCTGAAAATTATTTTTTTTCTATATATTATGTCTGCATTATGTTAGTATTATCAGAATTTTTCAATAAGAGATTGGACGATTGATCAGAAAAAGTTTCTTTTCTTTGTTCTAGGACTTACAACGTCGGCAATTTGATGGATGACATGAAGTTTCTTTATCGTCAAGCAGGTTTGGTGGGCTCCGGTATTACATTCATCTTCACTGATAACGAAATAAAAGAAGAAACTTTTCTGGAAAGCTTGAATAACATTTTAAGTTCTGGTGAAATCGCCAATCTCTTCGCGAAAGATGAATTGGACGAAATACAATCTGAGCTGATACCGGTGATGAAAAAAGTTTTCCCTAGAAGACCTCCGACTGTAGACAATCTCTATGATTTCTTCCTTTCTAGAGCTAGGTCGAATTTGCATGTTACCCTATGTTTCTCGCCTGTAAGTTGCATCATCATTATGTCTGTAGGTTCTATACTTTTTTTATTTCTCAACGCTTAAATTTTGGACTTAGAATATTTCTAGCCAAAATCTCGATAGCCATCGTTTTCACCTGAATTGTCTCCGGTCGATTTTTTTCCATAGCTCAATCACCATTTCGAGGCACCAGTTTTCAGTCGATAGATAACATAAAAGAGAATTTGTAGTAAGTACTGAAGTCGATCCAAAGCGTTTATAAAAGGGAGTTAATTCCTGGAACTTTTTTTATATAACCTCTGGTAGAAGACCATTGTATCTCAAATTGGAGTGCAGTAGATTTGCGAGGAATAAAACTCAAAGGCGTCTGCACAATTTAATGTCGCCATCGGATGTTAGTGCGGTAAAACCATCAATTAGAACATGTTTCGAACCTATATAGTTTCATCATCAGCTAATATTCAAACTTCTACAATAAAAGGAACAACACGTGATAATTCCTTTTCTTTTCCATTATAAAATAAAAAATAGTTTCTTTACCAGGTAAGTTCTTTATACTGCATTGTATCAACTATTGTTACATTGTTCTTCATTTTATTGTAGAAGTTTAAATATTAGCTGATGACGAACCTTTACTGGTGCGAAACATGTTCTGATTGGTGGTTTTACCGCACTAACATCCGATGTTGATATTAAATTGTGGAGACGACTTTGAGTTTTATTCCTCGCAAATTTTTTTATATAGTCGTATCTGGGTATGCGGATTTTATTCCAAGAACACCAAGTTCAATAGGTTAAAATGCCTAAAAGTCAAAAATTTTTGCAATTTTACTGAGTAAATGATTTAAATATATATTAAATTGATAAATTGTCAAGACCGTAGATCGGAGGATTTAATATTAGACTCGTATCTCTGATAATGGCACCAATGTGCATTTTCTATCAACCTTCACATAGACTGTGGTAATTATTTGAATTTGGAAAATTTATTTTTTCCTAAGAAACATACAATGTTTATAGCAGGGAATGCCCTTTCTAACCTCAATGTTCGTTCAAAAAAACAATATTCATTACCCAATCACCTCTCGAATCCCCATGAAATAAACAACTATTTTGCCCAATTCGTACAAAATGTTTCTAATAATTGTGATGAAAATATTGAATTTTACAGCAATAATTATTTAATCAGGCAAAATAACTTCTCATTTCGATTCGCTACTGAAGAAGCTATTCATGAAATCCTGAATGATATTAAAAGTCAAGCTTCAGGGGTTGATAATATTTCAATTAGAATGTTGAAACTTTGTAGCCCGTTTATAGATAAATATATTACGCATATCATCAATTGTTGTTTTGAACGTTCATATTTTTCAGGCTTGTGAAAAATGGCCATTGGGAAACCCATTCCCAAGAATAATGAATCAGCTAGTTATTCTAGCTGAATCAGAATTATCAGTATACTTCCAACCATGAGTAAAATTTTTGAAAGAGTTATTTATTTAGAAATTAATGAATATTTCAATACCAATAATCTATTTTCACCATCGCAATGTGGTTTTAGGCAGGGTTTTAGCACGGCTACAGCTCTTGCCACTGTTACACAAGACATTGTTGAAGGATTTGATAAGGGAATGATTAGCACTCTGGTACTACTAGATTTTTCGATACCATCAATCATGAGCTGATTTGCATAAAACTCAAATATTATGGTTTTGATAGTGCTGCCTTATTTCTCATCTGGTCTTATTTACTTGGTCGATCTCAAAAAGTTGTTGTTGATAGTCATCACTCCTTACCTCTTGATATTCTATCAGGAGTACCACAGGGTTCCATTTTGGGACCTTTATTGTTCATCATTTATACTACGGACATTATCTCGTCCATCAAGAAATGTAAAATACTGGCGTATGCTGATGACATACAATTATACATGCACTTTAAAATCGATGAGTGTGCTGAGGCACAAAATCTCTTCAACACTGATCTTGATTTGATCAATGGGCTATCAAGTGAACATGATTTGAAAATTAATCCTAATAAAACAATGATGCTGCACTTTGGATCGCAGAAGAATCGTAAATTTGAAGAAAACAATTTCCGTTTAGAACTAGGTCATACTATCTTGAATCCTGTCAATACAGCTAAAAACTTAGGGGTCATGCTTGACACTGATCTTAGATTTACTAGTCATGTTAAAAATTTAATGAAAAAAGCCTATATGTCATTGAAACTGTTATACTGTAATCGTTTTATTTTGAGCCAACCTCCAAAAAGAATGCTCTGTGATAGTTTGGTGCTAAGCCATTTCAACTACTGTGACTTCATATATGGGCCATACTTATATGATTCAGATAAAAAAAGAATACAAAAAGTGCAAAATTCTTGTTGCCGCCTAATTTATAGACTTCGTAAGTATGATTCAATTTCTGAAGCCTTTAAAAACTCCCGCTGGCTCAATATGAAAAACCGTATGATTCATCATCTGGGTTGTTTTGTCCATAAATTGATCACCCTTCCCCATTCTCCTCTTTTAATACAAAAACTAATTATGCGTGAAAATATTCACTCAAGAAACATTAGACATAAAAACAAATTAACTATGCCACAACATCGCACTGCACAGTTTCAGAGATCATTTCTTTTTGGTGCTGTAAAACTCTATAATTCATTGCCTGAGCAATTGAAGAGATTCAATATCAGGAAATTCAAATACAAATATAAAAATTATATCTATGATAGTCAGCAATGTCAACTTTTACTTTTCAGACAACAGATCAATTCAATTAAATTATTTATCAACTATCTTTAGAAGGTAATCACAAATTATTATTTTACTTACGGTTCTCATTTCGTGGTACCGTCACTGTTAATTGCTTTTATTTTTGTATGTTTGCGTGTATTATGGAGTGGTGCTTGTTGGTTGAGTTAGAGTAGCTTTGAGCTAGACTTCACCAAGGAGTACCAGAATCTCCTGTAAACTATTTTCATTTTCAAATATATCTTTGTATTGTTTTTTTTTTGTATTATCAATAAAGCCGATTTATTATTATTATTAAAGAATAAAAAAAACTAACAATAACATAACAAATTATGAATGGAGCACACAAAAAAAGATGAATCAGAACTGAAACTTGAAAAAATATAAATATACATACATATACACATATATACATACATATATGTTTGAATATGATCCATTTGATCTTGCTCATAATAATGATTATAATACGCAGGTGGGAGAAAAATTCCGAAGCAGGGCTTTGAAATTTCCCGGTCTCATATCGGGTTGCACGACAGATTGGTTTTCAAAATGGCCCGAAGACGCTCTAATAGAAGTTTCGTCCCATTTCCTAATGAACTATACAGTAGTCGCCACGCCAGACATCAAGCAAGAGCTTGTTCTCATTATGGCGGAAATCCAGGACGGCGTATCGGAATTCTGCAATCAATATTTCAACAAGTAAGTAGTTTTGATCGCCCTGCAGCGGGTGGCGCCACAGCAGCAGAGGAAATCTGCCAAATGACCCGTCACCAGCGTCCGGCACTGGTCAACAGAAGAGGTCCAATCCGGCTCCACGACAACGCCCGTCTGCACGTTCACAAATCACCGTCCGCAAATTAAATTTCACAGACCACTCGCCAACCGACTATCATCGTTTCAAGCACTTCTGTAACTTTCTCACCGGTAGAACCTTCGCCAATCAAGACCAGACAAAAACGGCCTTCGTCGACTCCATCGAATCCAGAGTACAAATTTTTATGATTCTGTCTTCAGAATTGGAAAAAATCTACATCCGTGAAAAGTTCTCTATTATGAAATATTTTTTTTTTAGATTGTGGAATGTGAAAATACTCAAGAAGGTCGATAAAAAACTTTGATTATCTCCACAAAAAATGACTTTCGTACAAAAATACTGGTGTTTTTGATTTTTTTGTTAAATGAAAAGTACCTACATAGTCTTGTACAGCTTGTGCAATGTAGGAAGAGCTTTCTGAATTCCGTTATGGTCTCGCCCACTAGATGTGCGTTTTTTAGACGACTATGAGACCGAGAGAGAGAGAGAGAAATTTCAAGTATCTTCCTAGATTTGACAAGCTGTAGTAGGTATTTGAATTCCTCATAAGTTTTATTCTGAAAATGGTTTTTCTGAAATGAGCTAAAACAGAAGCAAAGCGTCCTAAAGTAAAACTTTTAAACATTTCTAGAAGATGCGTTTTTTTTATTTTTCAAAAAGTACATAGCTTCGAAACTGTCAGTCCTAGAAACAAAGTTCAAGAACATAAAGGAGGATTTCCACCAAACTAACAAATCCACAACAAAACAACACAACAAACACAACAAAAACTTGAGTTGTCAAAACAAGAAACATTTCAAAGACTTTGTGTCGCGAGCGACTGTTTTTGTCAACAACAAAATGTCCCGTCGGCAGACGGAAAGATCAAAAGGTTTAAAGTTCGCTATGTGAGAAAGGTCAGCGACAACAACAAGCAACTATTCAGTAATAATCTATGTTAATCGATGTTAATCTGTAGTGGGTATAAATCAAGATGATCCCAGTTCTACCACCATTTATCAAATCTGCAATAATTTGTTCCGTTCCATAAACTATTCGTCTTCTTAATAATGATCCAAAAATAGATTTTTAAAAAAGGGGGCGTCCATAAATTACGTGAGGTGTTTTTTTTAATTTTCTGTCCCTCCCTCCCCCCTGGTGAGATGTCGTGAGATTTTACTCAACCCCCTCCCCCATCTCCCAATCTCACATGAGATTTTTCAAAATGTGGGTTTTACGTAAACACGTTGGATGGTTATTGTAAAAAGAAAAAAAATTTGCTTCGTGCTTTTATTTACGACTAGTTAAGACTAGTAATCAATATTGCGTATCTTTTGACGTATGCGTTACAAAAATCTTGATAACTCATTTTAAATTAGTAAGACCATGCACTGAGTCGAGTAAAACATTTACAAGAATAAACAAGGCAGGTTGGAACCTGTCCGTATGTCGCTGTCACTCAGCTCGTACGCTCTCGTTCATCGAGTCGCGCGTTCGGCTGACAGTGGCGCGAAAACAGAGGACGGGCTACACTGTACCGTAAATTCAGATTAAATTGAGTTATTTGGAATAAAACAAATATGGTGGTTTGACAGTCAGTAGATGTATAACGTCGAAGTATGAATGAAATTATTTTCTTTCGAACGAATTAGTGAATGATCCTAATCGTATTACGGTTATGGTTAAGATTAAATCTTAAGCATGTACAATCTGGATTAAATGGACCAAAATAGTATTTTTTTTTGTTTGAATCAGAAAAAAAATTGCGTGATATTCGCCGGGACCCTCCCCCCTCTCCAACATAAGATTAGATGAGAATTGACTCGCCAGGCCTCTTTAGAAACATCGTCTAAAGAAGCCATTATGAAAACTGTTCCTGCAGTTAAACTACGGAAAACATACCCGTTTTTTCTGTTTGGTGGAATTCAAGTTTGTTTTCGAAACTAAAACAAGTTTTTTGTCCGTGTTTTTGAAAACGCAACAAGTCGCATGCGATTCCGTTTAGTGGAAATCCGCCTTAAGTTGTAGGAAATCAGGAATAACTGTTGTAACTAAAATGTACCAAAGATAAGATATAAGCGAAAGTACAAAGGCAAAGGGTGCGGATGTGGAGGAATTGTAAAATTAAATTTCAAACACCTACTAACCATTCTAGATAACATAAAAAATGTAGAACTAACGGACCATTCCTAAGTAAACTTTCGATCTGTATTCATATGACTATATTTTTCATTAGGTTCCGCAGAAGGACATACGTGACTCCCAAAACTTTCATATCTTTCTTAGCGGCGTACAAAACTTTGTACAAGAAAAAGCTAGATGAAATTGGAGTGATGGCACAGCGTATGAAGACAGGTTTAAAAAAGTTGGTTGAAGCTCAAGTTAGTGTGGATGAACTACGAAAAGAACTGTCTGTCAAAGAAGTTGAAATGAATGTGGCTACTGAGAAAGCAGAAGTTGTAAGTTAATTAGAGGGTTATGAACCAACTTTATGAAATCTCTGTAGTTCATTTGATATTGAAGGAGAGTGATTCTAGAACTTTAACAGAGCAATTCCTCTCCTTGCTTCATTTAAATTAGGAATTGAGTCGTATTTCGTGTAAATAATTTATTTTTGTATTGCAAAGCGCTTTCGGCTTTTACGACATCATCAGTGTGATACCTGCAAGTAAATAATAGTCGTGAAATTTGTTTGAAGTTGAACTTTAAATTCTTTTTTGAATTACTTACTCGTCAAGTATATACAAGAGGATCCTGTAGAATAAAAGTACAAAACCTTAGTACAACACTACTTTGAGTAGACGTGAACATGAGCATTACAATAAATACCCTTCTGGGTTCAACGTGTTAATATTTTGTTTAATGATAATAAAACTGTTTTCAAAGTACTCAACGACGAGTAGGAGAAGAAAAAGGAAGTGAAAATTTGACATAGACATAAGGTCATCATTAGAGAACATATTTAGTTTAACAAATGATATATGTAGTAACAACAACACGTATGAGCAAAGAATTATTCAATTGGGATTTTGAGAAATGTTGATTTTCAGTTGGTTAATTTAGTCGTCTATGTAAAGAAATTTATGATCTATTCAATTGTACTTGTGTTTTCAAACAGAAGGTATTGTTATGTAATTCTTCGTCCATTTGTAAATCTTCTAGAAAATCCAACCTATTCAAATTTTTTGAATTGACTTCTTTTAGAATGTGTGAATTACGATTGGGGCTGAAATTATGTTGATTGAAAATTATATATTGACCAAAAGCTGATTTGTCTGGTTTATTCAAGTTATTATGATAGAACTTGACAGGTTTCATCAGCTTTTCTGGACCGCTGTTGATAGAAACGAGTAGATACCTGTTCCCTGCACTTTTTACTTCCTTCTTCTCTATATATTCGGGCAGACTATAGGTAGTAAATTATTATTCCAGTGAAGCATAAATTTTTACCAAACTTTCTATGTATTTGGATGGCTTTTGAACAGTTTATGACAGTAGGAAATTGACCGTACAATAGATATTCAAATGTTTATATTTATGCTTTGCCAAATGGCCAGGACCAGGCGTAAACGGTTTTCGTCAAAACTTTTAAAACAACCTAATAAAAGCCGTACAAGACTTTGAGATGCATTTCCTCCTTCTGATTCTTGATTTTTGACAATGACGAAGAAAGAGTATTTAATTTTATTTCAATAGGTTCTAAACGAGGTACTCGCTGCTTCTGAAGTTGCCAACAAAATAAAAGAAGAAGCACTGGTTGTCAAAGAACGAGCTGAGAATCTTGTAGGGATAATTAGTGTAGACCAGAAAGAAGCTGAAGGTAAACTTATGGCTGCAAAACCTGCACTGGATGCTGCAGAACAAGCTTTGCTCGTAAGACCCTTTTCCACTTCTCTACCTACCTACTTCATAAATTCGTATCGCTGAACCTGATTTTATTTTCAAGACCATCAAAGCAGCAGATATCGCAACGGTAAGGAAACTGGGAAAACCGCCCTATTTGATCACCCTCATTATGGACGCGGTGCTGATTTACTTCAAAAGGAAAGTAGAACCTGTGAAACCAGACCCGGATAAGAATTTCTTGGTACCGTGTTGGTCTGAGTCTCTTAAAGTGAGAGGTTATTCATTGTATTGAGTGACACTATTCCACTGATTTCTTTTTTAGGTAATGGCTGATTCAGCATTCTTGAGGAAACTGCAAGAATATCCCAAGGACACGATAAATGCCGAAACTGTTGATCTGCTTGTTCCTTATTTCAACTATCCTCAGTACACTTATGAAGCAGCGAAAACCGCATGTGGAAATGTTGCTGGTCTTATATCTTGGACGATAGCGATGGCGGCATTTTTCGACGTCAACAGGGAGGTTTTGCCATTGAAGGTGAGTTTGGTGGTTAGAGAGAGAACGAACTGAGGGGTGAACTTTTTAAATACACATAATTTTCACACAGATGAAACTTTGCGAGTAATTGAGTTCAAAATATTATTGGCCCACTAAGAAGCCCAAAATAGAAATATTCAAGACCGTCTCATTACTAGCGTGTGTATTCTATTTTTCCACTAATCAACGGAAACCCCCATTTTGAAATCTTTTTCATTTTTAAATCGAAAGTTAGGTACTATTTTTGCAAATTTGCTAAATTAAACACAAAACGTAAGAATGTTCTGAATTATTTTTTTTTCAACAAATAAACAAAAGTAATAAAAGAAATTAGTAACATGGGTCTGCGTATGTATGTTAAACCATTCCATAAAAGGTAACCAAACGAATCAGAAGCACCCATTGGACTCCAAAGTTACGCATGGGTTTACCAGTCATGTAGTTACACAAAGTGTAACCAGAGTAGAATAGCATAACCAGTAGGCTCTCTTACCACGTGATACGCCCGAGTTGCCGGGAAAGGAATCAAAGCTTAATCAGATATAGAATCAATTGATACTGGGGTGCCACAAGGTAGTATACTTGGCCCAATGATGTTCATTTTTCTAAATGACCTGGAGGAGATTTGTGGAAGAAATTGCAAAAGGACAAATTATGCGGATGACACAAACTTGCTGGTCAATGCAGTGGACTATCCCGGTCTGATATCCATACCTAACTGAAGAAAGCCTCTGTAAGGCAGATGAGTGGTTCAGGAGAAACAACTTATATTCAATGACAATAAGACCAAAACTGTAATGTTCAAAACAAACCATGCAAACTCATTGTATTCAATGAGAGTTATTGGTCAGTATGTCGACACAGATGTAATCTGAATGGTCTATCATTCAAATTTTGAATCTGTTTGTAGGTATGGGATTATTTTTTATGGAGGTAGTAGAAGTGCAGAGCAAATTTTTATGTACAAAAAAGAGCCTTAAGAACTTTGCTGAAACTAAACTCAAGAGAATCATGTAGAGGCAAATTCAGTAGTCTTAAAATACTTAAACTTATAGGAGTCTATATACAGGAACTCTTGTTATTCCCTTTTAGAAACAAACATCTTTTTGAAAATAGTCTACCACAAAATGTATATAACACTAGAAATGTTGACTATGTATACCCAAAACATAGACTAACTGTTACAGAAAGGAGCTTGTTCTATCAAAGCATGAAAATGTTCAACAAACTCTCCGCCAGCATCAAACAAATGAATAAACTTGGTGAATTCAAAAAGGGAGTTCATAAGTTTCTACTGAATATAGAACCCTATACTATTGCTGAATACCTCAGCCATACTGTCTGATATAATCTATCTTGCTGGTGAAGTTATTTCAGTTTTTGTATCTTTTTGCGATTATTCTTCTAAAATAATGATATTTATTATCATTATTATTATCTAGAATATCATTGAAATTATTTTATCTTATAAGAAATGACCAAATGACAAACAATTTTTCATCACAGCTAAATTCAAATTGGAGAATTATTTACTATATCAATTTTACATAGTTATATTTGTTTGTTTGTGTTATGAATCAGACCCATTCTTAAATAGCTACCTAAAACTGCTGGTCATCTCCTGATGACGCTTACTTGGTTAGCAAAACGCTCGTCGAGCTAGTATTTTTGTTGTAGGGTAGGAAAACTATTTTGATAGATTCGAAATGTTTCGATTTTTGGTTTCATTATTAGTTGTGTATTTGAATTTTTAGGCAAATTTGGCGATTCAACAAGCAAAACTGAGCAAAGCTGAAGAGGAGTTGGGAGCTGCAATGGAACTTTTGAGAGCTAAGGAAGAAGAAGTTAAAGAATGTCAAGACCAATACGAACAGGCAATGCAGGGCAAACAGAAAATTTTCGAAGAAGCTATGGTAGTGAAAAACAAAATGGACGCAGCCACAGCTTTGATTAATGGTTTGTCAGGCGAACGAATTCGATGGACTGACCAACTTGCTCAGTTCAAAGCGGAAACTGAGCGACTCATTGGGGATGTGGTTCTACTAACTGGGTTTTTAGGATATACCGGGCCTTTCAACCAAGAATTCAGAAGTACAATGCAACAGACGTGGTTGGACAGTTTGATTAAGAAGAAGATTCCAGTCACATTGAGTCTGAATATTATCGATAGTTTATCCGATTCTGCAACTGTAATGAATTCGTTTAAATTGAGGAGAGAGATACACATGCTATGTTTTTCAGATTGGAGAATGGAACTTGCAGGGATTGCCAACCGATGACTTGTCCATCGAGAATGGTATCATAGTCACTACAGCTTCCAGATATCCTCTACTGATAGATCCTCAAAGTCAAGGAAAATTCTGGATCAAAGAGAAAGAAAAAGACAATCAATTAATTGTTACTTCTTTGAATCATAAGTATTTCAGGTAAATTGAAAAAGGTATATTTTTAGGAGAGAATAATTTTTGTGAAAGTAAGGTTTTGACTTTCTACTTCTCCATCATTATACAAAACAAAGGGGATTCTTCCGAAGAAAGGAAGAAAGCAATTAATTTCAATATAAACTCTTTACACAAAGGTGTGTAGATCGTACAAAGGCGTATATGTATCTATAGAATAGGGAGGGTGAATGTAGCGGCGGCGGCTCGTCAGAGGAGGCAAGGGAGGCTTAGCCTCCCCATAAAATCTGAGGCTATCCATCGCAATAAGTCAACAGATATTGACAAATAATTATGATTATTTTTTTCTAAAAATGCTTGGGTATCATTAGTTTACAATTAATTTTTAATATAAATACATAATATGCCCGAAAAAACACTATCACTCACTTGTAGTACGTACCACACTGTATCCTGCATCAACAAAACTCAAACGCACTGTCCAAGAACGAATAACGAATAAACTATCAACCCGAAATAATGAATGCCATACGTTGCAAGGGAGCCAAGCCTGCGACCGCTTTAAAAAACACAGGCTCCACGAGACCGATCCAACCAGCGACATACGTCCCGATTTGTAATTTCAGTTGCATAAATTATAGCGTCAGAGGAGGCTTGCCTCCAGTTGGTCTCCGTTAGTGTACGACTGTGTTTGTTTTTTATTTAATTATTCGGACGGGATACTGTGACGGACCAGGACTAAATAATATTCCGGTAAATCGTTTTAGTGTTTCTTGATAATATTTGTTATTTGTGTATAAAACAGGCAATATCATATTATAGCAGTGCCTTTTGGTAAAATTTTCAATGTGTTTTTAAAGTGTTTTCTTTCAATTTCAAGGTGTTTTCAGGTTTTCACTTTTCGGTAAGTTTTTTTTATTTATTATGGATAAGTTGGACGAAATTAAAAAATCTGACGATATAGTCAATTGGTTGCTGACAAATAATTTCAAGTCTTTATCTAATGATGATAAATTTCACATAATTAAAACTCTGGGAAGGCCTCAACCAAATTTGGTTTCAATTAAATCGTGGAAGAAAAAATTGTGAGCCGTCACGTGACTGCTGGCAAATAATAATAGTGTGTGTGATCCCTGTGATGATTGTTGGGTACTGAAATATTTATAAAAAATATGTTATTAAAATATACATAAACAAATTTTATTGTAACTTTCATATACTAGTAAAATCAAGGATCTTGACTAGTTATTGCAAAATAATATTACTGAAGATCTTAAATTATAAATAATAATTCAATGACAAATAAATAAAAATTTCAAACATAAATTTCATAGAAATCAATAATATTCATAGTAATAACACTAGACAAACAAAATTATTATCAGTTACCTAGTAATTTTAGTAATTTATTAAATTAATTAATTGATTTCTTGACGTTCCTGTTAATAACAAATAAAAAAACATTTGTGCGCTCGCTATCAGCTGATTTTGAAATACAATTTTGTCAGTATCAATGAAATGTATTCTTCAAGCAAGTGTTTCAGTGCATTGTTTTTTATAGGAATGGAAGAAAAATTAATAAATGATTCAAAAATATTATATGCTATGAAAATTGTGTAAATTTCAATCTACCAAGAGAGTAGATTTTACATTTACTGACCCTTGAGACAGACCAAAATATACGCGGGCTCAATGCACACTTCATTTATAAAATATGAAAATATAATTGAATTACTGATGACTTGATAGTATGTCGCTTTGTGATTTTGCTTTCTTTGCTAAATTATCACTGTCAGACATATTTTATTTTCAATTATTTAAAAAAAAATGTATGTAGTAAACACAGGTCATGTAGTAACGCAGAACCAGTAGGAAGAATATGGCACAGTCACTTGCGCATGGCGACCCGTCACCGAGTCAGCAATAAGTATTATGAGCGGATATAGATGTTTCACATCAAAAGTCCTCTCGAAACAACTACTTTTATATGATCATTGAATTATACAAAAACACTTTTTACTTTTCAGTTTGTACTCCAAACATTCGTTATGGAATCGAATCAGATGACATTCATATGTTTGCCACACAATATAGCAAATGAAAGAAGTAAAATTCCACTTACATGGAACACTATCCTCCGCGGTGGCGGACAACCGATGTTTCGGAATAAGTTTTATTGCCTCTTTATCAACTTTCATAACCTACGATATATACATTATATTATTCGAATACATAGAAATGTTATAGGCATAGGGGCACAATTTTGGGGCACATATGAAATGTATACAAAAACGTTTCTCATTACAATGCCTGTAGAAGTTAGGGGAGAGTGGAGTAATTGCGAACACCTAAGGAAGAACTTCAATTAAACAAAACCATTTGAGGTTATGAATGCTATTTATTACTAAAACTCAACTAAAACTAATCAATTTTATGTTCTCATGATCAACGTAGATGAATGTTACATATAAAATAAAATATTAATACAAAAACAAAACACTGGAGTCCGGGATTACCCCACAACTCGTGGGGTAATTGCGGATGGTCTGTTGGGTAATTACGAACATAGTCTAATCAGAACAGAAATCATAAATAATGCCTCGTGATGTACTTCCACCACTCGTACAGTTTTCGTGACAAATTTGGCAATAATACTCGTTTTCCTTCCCATCTCCTTCATTGGCCTTTTTCTTCTTGCACGGTATGTCCTTTTCTTGAGCCTTTGTATGAATGCTATCATCGGAAAATAATATAGGATTCTTCCCCTGTTTTTTACCTTTAGCGGTACTCACAAACTTTTGACTCTTTCTTTTTTTTTAAGATATCTTTCATAGGGGTACTGTTTATTATATTTAATTTAGATACAGGGCAGAAAACAATCACAAAGCCCTACCTGCTCTTTCATGATGGTGAGAAACAGAAACGGTATGCAGTTCTGGAGAGCGAGGGGGTCTATGATGAGCGAATATTCATAACCTGTTGCATTATTAACACTTTCATAAATATAAAGACGTTAATGTTTTTCATTTTCAGGAATCACATCGAAGATTCAGTCTCATTGGGTTACCCGATGATCATTGAAGATATAGGGGAAGAGTTAGACCCGGTTTTAGACAACGTTATGGAGAAAAATCTCATCAAACTCGGTACTACGTACAAAGTGAAAGTCGGGGACAAAGAGGTCGATTTCAACAACAACTTCAGGATGTACATTACCACCCGACTTGCTAATCCTAACTACACTCCTGAAATATTCGCCAGAGCATCGATTATTGACTTCACTGTTACTATGAAAGGTTTAGAAGACCAACTCTTGGGCAGGGTTATATTGACTGAGAAAAAAGAACTCGAAACGGAAAGGACTAACTTGATCAAAGATGTGACTGCTAATAAAAGGAAGATGTTGGAATTGGAGGCAAATCTTCTGTATAAACTCACTACAACTCAAGGTTCGTTATTGGACGATGAAACTGTTATTGGCGTTCTGAACGTTACCAAGTCTACCGCGAACGAAGTGAAAGAAAAGTTGACGATAGCAAAGGACACAGAGATCAAAATCAACCTGGCCAGGGAAGAGTTCAGACCTGTAGCCGCGAGAGGAAGCGTTCTATACTTTTTAGTTGTCAGCATGGCCATGGTGAACGTCATGTATCAAACTTCATTAGTTCAATTTCTGGAAAGATTCGACATATCCATGTACCGATCGGAAAAGACTCCGATAATATCCAAGTAGGGAATCGTTCTCAAAAGTATTCCAAATAATGAACGTTGCATTTTTCAGACGAATTAGTAACATCATCGAATACCTCACGTACGAGATATACAAATACAAATCGAGAGGTTTGTACGAGGAACACAAATACATGTTGGTGTTGCTGATGTGCCTCAGGATAGACTTGGAAAGGGAGAATATCACGCACGAAGAATTTCAGAACTTTATCAAAGGCGGCGCTGCTTTGGATCTTAATGCTTGTCCACCCAAACCAGCCAAATGGATCACTGACATGACTTGGTTGAATATAGTCGAGTTATCCAAATTGAGGCACTTCCAGTACATCATTCAACAGGTAAGATTAAGTTTTTCTTCTGTGGAACTGAACTTTCGCTTAAACAGGATCAATATTCCTTTTTTGGTGAATGAAAAAAAGGCAGACTCAGATGAAAAATATATTATCAATTCAAGATAGTATTTTTCCATGTACGAATATTATTAACCAAATTAAAGGTTACGCCGGTCGAATCCTGTCCACGAATCTTGGACACACAGTGAGGTGATGGATCATTGGGTCCGAGAATCGTATTTTCATTATTATATGGTTCATCATGAGCTGCCAGGCTGGTGTCTTCAACACCTCAGTCTATGTTGGTCACATGATGGGTATACCGGTGGCTAACACTAGGTCTTATACTCAATCAAGGCCTTAGCCAGGGGGGGATCATAGGAGATTGCTCCCCCCGAATGTTCTACAAGCAACGGCCATCCAAAAATTGTATCAAATACAACGATTGGCTTGTTTGAACATCACAGGATCCATGAGAATAACACCAACCGCGGCAATGGAATTAAATTTCTGGTCTGTCTCCTCTGGACCTGTAAGTTAAGGAGGTTGCGTTAATGGCCATGTTAGGATTGCGCGCGGCTGGTGTAAACCTCGAAGTAGAAATGGGTTAATTTAGGCTGAGCATATGGCGAGAAGCGCTCACTGTGCAACCTCTGCTTCAGGCAACCAGTGATACAATTGAACCTAGGTTTGTGTTTAATAAACCCTACAAAATACAAATAAAACAAAACACAGAGTCAGATGCTACAAATGCAATACGCATATATACAAACGACTCAACAACCAAAGAAGGCTCAGCATGTGGGGAATGGGAAAAAATACCAGCGTGGTTCAAACAGAACCTGCTGGTATCTCAATTGCCACAAAAGAAATAACCAGGAAAGGAATTTCTGGCAAACAATCTGCATTGATAGCAGACAAACCCTATCAGCCTAGAACAGACAACGTGTTACCTCAGGGCTAGTACTAGAGTGTCACCAAGATTTAACCAAAGCCTCGGTAGATAATAACATTATCCTGAGGTGGATTAAAGGGAACGACAGGAGTAATCGCGTTGCCAACTCTTTAGCTTTAGCGGCTGGACTAAAAATTTTAGGACCCAGTGGCACCTACGGCCTGATGCGGAACTAGCCAAACGTTACACCCATGCTCAATCCCTAAAGAGATGGGATGAAATCAAAGGATGCAATCTTGCCAGGATCACCCTGGGCGACCCTGGGAAGCTGGCGTCGAACAAATATCTAGCGATGACCAGGAAAAATCTACGCTTGACAGTAAGACTTCTGACTGTCAACTAAGAAAACACCTCCATAATATGGGGCTAGTGGACACACCTCTATGCAGGATGTGTGAACAGGAAGATGAAACTATCAGGCATGTCCTATGCGAGTGTACGGAGTTATCGTCAATAAGAGAGTGTGTGTTCGGCGACTCTTAGCATACACCTGCCGATATTAAGAAGATGTCTCCTAGTGACCTGTCCACCTTCCTGGAAAGGACAGGATCGACGATGACCTAGGAGGACAACTCCTTGGGAGAATGTACAATAGGTCATATGTGGCCTAAGTGCTGTGGGCCTACACTCAACCTCCCTACTCTACAGATACAGATACTATTGGAATTATAAAATCTGTTAGAAATTTTATCAAGTCCTTGGGAAAGCGAACCAAGTGCTTAAAAGAGAATATTGAAAAAAACTTCTCCGAAACACAATGGAAAAACCTTACGGCAATGTGCTTACAAACTTTCAAAGATCTTGGCGACACTGCCTGTTGCCACATGTACCCCTGAAAGAACTTTCACTTCTCTGAAACGCCTCAAAACTTATTTAAGAAACTCCACAAGCCAGGAACGACTGAACGGTTTGGCGTTAATGTCAATCCACCGTAAAATTCACATCGACACCGGGGAAATAATTGATTTGTTTATTGGAAAGAAAGCTAGAAAACTAAATTTGATTTCGTAAAAAGATGTTGATATTTCTGTAATGGTTTTCTACTAAATATATATGTTCATGTAACACAATTTTCTTTCTTTCGTTATTTTTATATTTCATGTTTTTCTACTATTCTACCAAACCAAACCCCCCCCCCTGAAATTGTTTTCTGGCTACGGCCTTGTCCTCAATGTTCTTAACTGTGCCTCAAAGAAAATAGGATATATACGAATTACTACCTAAGAACCTCAATTTACTTTTAATCAATCAATTAATAATCAACAAATTACTTCCTGCCAGAAGAAATAATAACTATTTTATTCATTATGAACAATGGGGCTTACATACATCTTCAACGAAGTCTATTGTGAGTATTCGAAATGAAATCTCGAAACATTTGTCTCTTAGTTTACAACGTAAGTTCTGGTAAATGCCTGCCGGAAAACAACTACTTCCTCGGTTAATACCACGCTTGATATTGAATTATCTCTTATCAGTGCAGAACATACAGTGTAGACAGTTGGGAGAGCAAATCCAAAGGATCAATTCGTTCAGGCCAATCTCAACTCCCTACACTGTAGGTGTCAGTGCAGGATTCTTCACTTATTCCTGCATATGCTGTTGGCGATGCAACTGCCGCAATATAGTTTCAACTATTGGAACACGATTGCAGACCGGTTTCGGGCTGTTTAGCCACTCGTCAGTGCAAGGTAGTGCTTATCATCAACATAAAGTCGATGATTTCCAATATTTGAAAATCAAATTCTTTCAGAGTATCATTCCTCGAATCAGGCTGAAGCGGACAACAAACAACAGGTTTGTCATCACCCCATCTGCCTGTGAACGAGGTTACCAACCACATGATACAATTATCGGAAATCATCGACTTGATTATAGACACTATCTTACACACAAGTGGCCAAACAGCCCGAAACCGATCTACAAGTGTGTTCCAATAATTGAAAATCTATTGCGGCAGTTGTATCCCCAACAGGATACAGGAATAACTTCAGTAAAGAATCCTGCACTGACACCTGTCGGATATAATTCAACGCCCTTCGTGGTATTAGCCAGGGGAGTAGTTGTTTGCTCATAGATGTCAATCCATTTACCTGCAGTGTAGGGAGTTGACACTGGCCTGAAAGAATTGTTCCTTTAGAACTTTAGATGATTTGATTTATAGCCAATCTGCGAGTATGCCCACTTACTATATGTGAATAGTTGGGAGAGATTTATGTTTCGAAATATTTATTTTCTTTCAAAGAATCTGATGAAGTGTAATGAAAGGCAATTTAATAAGTTCACCTCGGAAATTTACTGTGTGATAAAAACAACTGAAGAGTCCAATTAGTCAGTAACTTACAGTCATTAATTTTACCCACAAATTGAATGATCAGTGAAAAAAAAATAAAATTGCTTATACTTAGCTTTTTTCAGAAGCTAAGTATAAGCAATTAGTATATTTCGGAAAAACGTTCTCAAAACCCAATGAATCAACCTGCCTTGAAAGATGTTGTTTTATTTCTAACGAAATGGATGAATTATTAGGATTATATGAATTTCATTTGGCATAATCTAATTTGAAAATAAAATTAATTTATTTATTTATTCTTCCCTACAGACTCAATAACATGGATCGACTCAAAAACCAACCAAACATAATTTAAATAAACAAAAGTCTCGAAAATTGTAGTCTCAAAACTGCAGGACCCCAACAAACTCGCGAGAAGTAAGGATTTTAAGTCAAAAAGTATAAGAATTGAAAAGAACAGGTTTACTGCTCATGGTTCAAAATTATTTTGTAAGATTTATTCTGGAACATACTCTAGTCTGTATATATCGACTGGTTGAGTTTGTCAGCTAATTGTAGTTGTAGCATCTAAAGGTACTCTGGAGGTTCGAAGGGATACTGAAAAGCAAAGTCCGTTTAATGTTACGTGCTGGCACATTGAATGGAACTAATGATTTGCAATTCTTCCAATGGCTCGATTGTAGAAATATTAGCTGAATCCCAAATAGCTACTGAATATTGCAAATTTGATTTTATCAGGTTTTCAGAACAGAAAAAAAGTAGTTTTCCGAAACGTTTACCATCTGAAAGAAGCAAAGTATACAGACTCATTTTCTTATGACCAACAGGACTAACAGGACTCTTGTATTACGCAGTAACTTTTCGAATTGAGTACTCCAATTTGCCCTTCATTTACCCACGCATCGCAATCCAGCAGGTTTTGTAATGATTTAACTTTGTGCCCAGATTGTGGAAGGTTATGAACCCAAAAAACAGTTGGAAATATTTATTTTTCCACAAAGAATATTTTATCTACAGTTTTTGAAGTATAAGATGTTCTGAAATTTGAAAAATTGGTTCCTGACAGAACAATCAAATTTTATTTTTAATACATTTTGAAAAACATAGTGGAATTGTAATGTGATTTATAGTTCAATTCAGCCTGATCCTTGTACTAGCGTAGATTCATTAATTATAAACCCCACCCGCTCACTGTGCTACCCACTGAGTGTTCAAATTATAGTTAGTCATCTAGTCACTACAAATACCATTCGCTACGATTGCCTTCTCAATTTTCTGGAGCTTCCCCATTGCATCGGCCGCCCTAACCTGAGTCATAATACGGGTCCAACACCTGATAGCAGGCCCACCCCGTCCCTAAGGCAGCCCCAGGCCTCACTCGACTTCGATCCACCCTTGGAACCGTCCACCATACTCGCCTTATGGCCGTCAGTTCTGCCATATCCACGTTACCTTCGGCGCAAAAAGTTCACTTTAGTGCCACTATGGATTTTCTGAGGTCACGACGCCTGCTGACGACCATTCTGAAAAATCACTGGGATCGTCTGCTGGGTCGGATTCTTCAACGTTTCTTGATATTTGGACCGACATACCATCTTCACCCATTTGGTACTCGATCTAGGCGTTGGTTCCTTGACCTGCTGAGCTATGTATACGTCCGCGATATCTCAACAATCGTCCACTTGCTAATATTTCATTACCTTCGAAACACTGGTGAGTATCAGCAACACTTGGGTCTTCAAGTGGTCTGCTAATTTGGTGAGTCGAAAATTTTGATTTGCAACCCCTCCAGCAACAGGGGATCTCTTCATCTTTGGACTATCTCCAAACTCTCCTCGACAAGCATCACCAGTGGCGTCAAAAACTGAAAAATAGTCAGGAAAGTAGATGAGATGTAGGCAAACACATTATCTGGCATCTTTACTGCTTTCTTCTGACTGCATTTCTGCAAACTATTTCTCTCCCCTGAATTTTGGCACAGTTCGATGAACGTGGTTCATCGAACACTTTCCAAGAATTTTCCTGCATTGGCATGTGTCCCGATTCACATCGTAGAGAAAGAAGTTCATCTGATAATTTGATATAGCACCGTTTCTCGTTTTTTCTGTTCTTCTCCTGCAGTTGCTTCGATTTCCTGTGCAGGTTACGTTTGAAATAAATTTGCGATGTCATCCTCTATGTTCCTGACAACTTTATCCATGGTTAGTTAGGTATGTACTATACTTTATGTACAATACCTCACATAGGTTAATAACGTAGGTACTTCATAATTAGAACATTATCAGGTGAATATCTAACATTGAATGGACAAACTCCACAATCTACCTGGAATCAGAGGTAAAAAAACAAGTGTGAATTGGAATTCATTTGTTTTCATACTTTTTTGTTTCCTGATGAAGAAAAAGTTTAAAAAAAAAATTCTGAAATGATCATATGCGGATACTGATTTCTAGTGAACATTGAATGTTTTATTCAATATAAAAATATGGTATGGCCATATTAATCAACTGAGCTCAAAATTATGTATAGCAATTTATGCAGTACGAGCCATTAAAATAAACATCAATGTGTTAGCAGCGATGTCAGTGCATTATGCCTACTTCCAGAGTTTGCTACAGTATGGCCAAGGGCGTCACCAACGGGGCAGGGGGGGCAGTTGTCCCCCCCTATAGATCAAATGTAGCTATCCGCAAAGCGACCAAAGTGCGAGCAATTGACTTGCTCACCTATTAATAAATTCCGCATCGTATGACAAAACGTTAATAAATTCACAAGGTTCAATGTATATTGTAGAAAGTATTGAAATATTCAGAATAACATTAAGATTAACTTCCGTTTTTAAAATCGCCGCCATTATCATCACGACTATATCAACTGCATGCGGCTACTTCCAGAATTTCTTTCATTCTCGGGATTATGTTAGTAGCCAAATATTCGGCTTTGATGGAACCCTTTGTCAACGTACTCCAATATGTAGTTTTGAACGTGACCAAAGCCTCGTAACACGATAAAAGGATTTTACTTTTTATTAAAAACCACAGGGATAATCCAGAAAAAGTGACAGACGAAATTATAAAGGAAGCTACTGATGTTGCGGAGAAAGTCGGACTGGAGGAGGACATTACATCAATGCCGCGTATTACGGGGAAACAACGTCATAGAAGCAATCATCCAGCAGAAAGCCCTTTAGAATACTGGAAGAGGGCTTTAGTAATACCATTGATTCAATTTTCACCTCTCTTGAAGTACGTTTTGCTGCAGAAAACACGCCATCATTCGCATTATCTAAGCTACACCTGGCGCAGATGACAACTGAAAATCTAAAACAAACTTGTGAATCTATTGCCTAGTTTTATGATTTACCGAACATAAAGAATGAAATCAATTTTTGGCAGCAATTGTGGCACGATAGGCTCAATCTAACAAATCTTACAGTTGTTGATGTCCTAAAAGAAACAAATTCCTCCTTTCCCGAAATGGAAAAGCATCGATCATGCACGACCTGTACAGTAGAGCGATCCTTTAACAGCCTCAGAAAACTGAAAACATGGATAAGAAGCACCATGGAAGAAGATCGCCTTAATGGTCTGGCCATGATGAGTGTACACAGAGCTATAATAAATAAAAACTTAAATAATTTCAATGATAAAGTGGTTGAAAGTTTTGCAAAAAATCCCCGCAGGTTATGTTTCAATTAAATATTATTTATGTTAAAATAAATAATTATTTCTGTGTTTAAAAGTTTGATTTAGGGCTTGTGAAGTTTTATACATTAATATTAGAACCGTTCTTATTACAATCGTCATCGAGGCAAAGACTTTCGAAATGTAACGCTTCATTATTTCGACTGTACCAGGAGTTCATATTTTTTATCCTTCATAATATTGCCCCATTGCCACTTAGTCATAAGCTGGCGACGCCCTTGAGTATGGCATTGCATTCTGGGGTCATATCACATTCTTAATTGAAAAACGAGCCATTTGTACATTATTTGGTCTCGATTACAGAATGTCTTGCAGGAATTATTTCGTTTGAAGGTGGTTGACAATGTTTCGTGGTGTATTTCATCAGTTCAGACTTCCATTGTCTAATATAATATAAATTGATTTGAAATTCCTGAAAAAATATTAAACAGATTAACCGAAAATAACAATTTTATTTTAACAAAAAAACTGAAATTACAAAGAAATAACATAAAACCAAAAAACAACCAAAAAAATTAAAATTGAAATATTAATGAAAGCTGAAAAATAAAAATTATTAACAAAAAATGAAAAATGAAAATTAAAAGATTCCAAACCAAGTTATGTCACGACGTTTCGATTGTTAGTATCCACAATTGTCTTCGGGTGATAACTGGACTTATTCCTCCGAGATACGACTATTTATAGGCTATTCGAGTGCTTTCGCCTATCCCCTCTTCTCTCTCTCCGCTTCATTGGTTTTAGCGGGAGATGACCGTTTGGCGGGAATTGGTCGTTTTTCGTTTGATTAGAGGTTTTCATATGTTACGTATCTCTACGCTAGCTTGACTAAATGTGATATTTACACTCACTGATGTGTGAATTTACATAATAAAAGGAATGACCTACATACTCCTAGATTCTGACATCGGTATCCTAAAAGAAATTAGTCATTAACTCTAGCAAGCTACGAATATAATCGAAAACTTAATGGACCTCTTTCTGCAGGAATCAAAATTCATAATCATTTACCAGATGAAATGAAACAACTTCAAATATTAAATGAAAGAGTTGAAAATTCATTTACATTTAACACTGTCATCCTCAAGATGTTTCGCAGTAAAACATTTGCCTAATCAGCTCTTCAGTATCAAAATATGGATAACATTATAAGAAAAAACAAAATTACGACTTCATGTCAAGGAATGAGTTTGATCTACTCATGTCATCAATGACATCGTAATGACATTCATTCTCTCATTTGATTAAATCCCAGCCAAGTGAATCTTGTTTAAATTGAAAGGAGTATATTTTTAGAAGAGGTTAATTTTTTGAGAAAGTATTTAGTTTTTCGTAAATTCAATGTTTTTATGAAAGTAGCTGCTTCGAGAAGGCTTTTTTCCAGTTTGTGTCTGAAAGTTTTTTTTTTAAAGATTGCCACATTTTTTTTGTATGAAGATGCAGTATCAGATAGCCAAAACTTTCTTTTCCAAAAAATTAACCTCTCCTAAAAATATACCCCTTTCAAATTCAAATATGATCTGAAAAAATTATCGAATCATCCGTTTCATACTATTGGAGAAATTTTTTGCAATAAATTTCAATATAAATTTGTCCTCTTTCCATAATCAAAATTACACTCCAATCGACTCTTTTCTCTTTCCGCAAGCCTTGAGAGCGATTGATATGTATATAAATAATATAAATCTAATATTATCATGTTATTGTAATTAAAATTTAATCTAATCTAATCTGATGTCTAGTGACGGTATTTATAGAAAAACAGATGACGACATAGTTTGAAAATAAACAAAGAAAATGGAGAGTATTTGTGACGTCGTTTTAAGGACTGTGAATTGCCGGATGTTGATTCAGCATTAGTCAGCTTTGACATTGATCCTGTGTATCCATGTCATCTTGGGTATGAATAGGAAAGGTCAATAAACAACAAGTAACATACATATCTTTATTTTTGGGAATGCCAACCATTCATGTTGACAAAACGTTAAGAAACTCACTTGAAATAAACGACGCTCGACAATTCGGAATGAATATAATATGAATAATGTTTCAATTTCAAACTATTTTCACTGATAATTTTTTCTCAGGTTTCTTCTAATGACAAACAATGGAAGAGCTGGTTTGATAAAGATGCTCCAGAAGAAGCCGTAATACCAGATGGATATAGTTCTTTAGATACTTTCAGGAAGCTTTTGCTGATAAGGTAACCCTTTAACCTGTGACACCGGAAAACTTGACTGTTGCATTTTATGTTGTAGATCTTGGTGCCCTGATAGAACGATTACACAGAGTAGGAAATATATCGCCAGCTCATTGGGTCAAAAATTTGCCGAGCCGGTCATTCTGAACATGGAGGTACTTTTCAACGAATCTCGCCCTTTGACGCCAATGATATGTTTCTTGAGTATCGGATCAGACCCTACGCCTTACATTGAACAGCTAGCAAAGCGATTGGAACTCAAGAGCAAGTCTATTTCTATGGGCCAAGGACAGGAGGTACACGCCAGAAAACTGATGACTGGTGCAATGACTGAAGTGAGTTGCGCTGCAAAGTTGTACAGGAAATACGAAAATATTTCTATGATTTACATTTATTTCTCCACATTATAAAAAGTGATTTCTGTGTAAGTCAGCTTCGGTAGCAGAAATTTCTTCACCGCTTGAGGATTTGCTCACGAGATGGAGCTGTTACTATTTTTTTTACTTATTTTATTTGATAAAAGAATGAAGGAGCAAAGTTTGAGTTTGTATAACATTGATATGTCCAATATGTTTTTGGTTTGCATAAATAATTAATAGTTTGTTATTCATAATCTCATCTGAATTTACATTTCATAACTTCAGTATGTAATATATTCATTAGTTTGAGTGAATCATTCGATGATGCTCCTCAAAATTATATAAAATACTGTCGTTTTAAACACATTCAATGTTTTAGTAACAAAACATTTCCATATCAAAGTTTTTTCCGTGTTTTTGACCGAGGTCTACGGAATTTTATGCCAGACGTTTCGTCTACTACTGCGGTATAAACTCTGCGTTGAGCAGAGCACTTCAATCGTTACCTCATCGCCCTTGATAACGCCTACCGCAGTTGTAGACGAAACTACAGGTATACAAACGTGTAGACCACAGCCAAAAAAGCCAAAAAAATAGTTTTTGCATACTTATCTCCGGCCGTAGAAGTTCATTTTCTTTAAAATATTTCTAATTTTGAAGTGTTCCAAATAATGGAGATTCGTTTGAGTAAAATTTTAATACGTAAACACCATAATAAATGATCATTTGAAGCTTCAAACAGTCGATAGATGATGAATATTTGATAGTGTTATCATGAAGGTTTTTTTTTGGTACCTTGGGAACTGTCTGACTTGCCCATTCAGTCCAAGTCTTCAGAAAACACTGCAGCCTCTTGAGCTTATTGCGTTTATTCTCCCATCTTCTCATGACACCCATTCCATGTACGTTCCTTGTACTATTTTGTACTACGTAAATTCGTACGTCCATATATTGCCTGCCTCCTGTGATTCAGTGTCTCACATTCCCATAAAATGTGTAGAGCTGTTTCTATGTCTTCGTTGCATAATCTGCAGCTGAGGTCTCCGTTATACAGCCCCATTTTATTCAAGTGTCCTCTAAGCGGACAATGACCGGTTAGTAGCTCTGTAATTATTCTGAGCCGATCCCTACTGTACTGAAGTAATTCTTCGGTTCTTTTCTCGGACGGTTCCCTAATGAAGGTTCTACTGTGTTTGTTGCCAGGTATTTTTGTACAGTACTCTGTGTGCTTCTTATTGGTCCATGTCCTAATCTGGTTTTGTATCAATGATTTTGGTACCCCCAGAGCTGGTTCAGGACGTATTATCCGTGTCTAGCGCATTCATCAGCTTTATCATTACCTGTGAGCTCCCGTTCCATGTTTGGTCTTCGATCCATCTGTGTTTTTTCCAAACATGTTTTCGGGATGACTAATGGTCTTCCACTCTTCACGGCTTATGATTTTGGCCGTGAAGTTTGTGTTAAAGGTGTACTTCGGTGTCATGTGGTCCGTGCATATATTCAATATGTGCTCCTCCACTTGTTCCGAAGTATCTGGGCGATCATGAAGGTTAATGGATTGTTGTAGGAGTTGTCCTACTAGGTCATCGTCCATCCTGTCCTTTCCAGGAAGGTGGACAGGTCTCTCGGAAACATCTCCTTTATATCGGCAGGTGTAGGCCAAGACTCGCCGAACACACACTCTCTTTGTCAACCTTGAGGTATCTCACGGCGGTCTCCGCGAAGGTTTTGCAGCGACATTACTGTCGTTGCGCGGCTTCTTCAACCTTCCTGGGGTTCCCCTAGTGGAGGTGTTCCTGCATGGGCAGGAAGTGCCCTTGCTGTTGGAGGTGAAGTGGGGGAGGAGGAGGGTGCACTTATAGTTGCTACCACTCTTGCCTCTTTTGCTCTCTTTCTCCTTTTGGCCTCGGCACCGCAAATGCGCCGCGTTTGTATTACATCACGAGGTGATCTGCTTTGTCCAGCCTCATTCCGAGCGGTAGATTGGGGTGGACATTTCTGTTCATCCCCAGCCACCGCGATAGATTGAGGTGAGCACTTCTGTCCAGCCTCGGGTTTGGTTTTTGTTGCGTCTGTTTTGTTTGTTTCATATACGTGTGTTCCCACGAGTAGCAAGGGAAGAGTTGGTCACCTCTGGCTTCACCCAATTCCCCAAGGAGAACGTTCGTAACCTCATATCACCCTGCGGCCATTCAGCTCTCGGCACGATTCCTCACACCTTATCTTGGGTAGGCTGCCCCACGGTGGCATGTTTCGCAAAGGCTTTTGAGGAGTTTTAGTTCCCCTCACCCTACTTATTTTTGCCACTTACCAGGAGTCCGGCGACCCCGTCAGTAAGGCCCCTGGCTGTTCCCCTATTCGCCACCTGGTGCCGTGCCCGATAGATTGCCCAACCTATGGGGTATTTTAACCATGTTAAGCCAACGATCAAAAAGTGATATCGGCATTTAATGGCAATTTTGAGGAGCAAGAAAGTTCTTATTTTAAAAACGGTACCTATCGAACTTATTGAACGTCAATTTAAGACCTCGTCCTAATTTTTCCGCATTTTTTTAAATTTTTCCTTTGATTACAGGGATATTGGGCTCTACTCCAGAACTGCCACTTATCTCTAGATTACATGAACGAAGTTCTAGGACAATTCCTCGAATTGGAAAAGGGCATCGGCAGTGTGCATCCAGACTTCAGGCTGTGGATCACCACCGAAGTAACACACCAATTCCCAATAAGTTTACTGCAGATCTGCATCAAATTCACCAATGAAGCTCCATCTGGCATCCGAGCAGGATTACTGAGAACGTACAGTTCCATGAATCAGGACTTGTTAGATTATTCCGATGCGTGGCAGTACATTCCGTTGGTGTATGCCATTTCCTTCTTGCACACGGTAGTGCAAGAAAGGAGGAAATTTGGGCCGCTCGGCTGGAATATCCCGTACGAATTCAACTCTGCAGATTGGCTGTCCAGTGTTTTGTTCCTTCAGAACCATTTGGATGACATCGACCCTAAACGGGGTATCAGTTGGCAGACTCTCAGGTGAGTGTTTATGAAGAATTTGAAATCCAATAGCATCAACCAATGCCAACCAAGATAAATTCTGAGATGTTCATTACATTGACAGTGTTTATTGGTACATTATTACCAACGTATGTTCGCAGCTAGATCACTTTTCTCACTCACCAGAATTTCTCGATGCGCGCTCCACCAAACAAGTGCCTCATCAGAATTTGACATCCGAAAATTCATACATCTTCATAAAAGTTTGCATCCTCAATCATCTGTTTCACGGTTATAGGTACTTCCTCCAACAACCAAGAGTGTCTACATGACAGAATGACATCGAATAGGGCATGAGGGCCATCAAGAGTTCAGATCCCCTTCTTTATATGGTCCATGACCATTGGAGAGCAGGAATTCGGGGTTGATGAACTGGGTTTGGTTTTTGACACTGAACGAGGTGACCACAACTCTGTCACCTTATTGAATTCCATTCCGCAAAAGGCCCACATCAAAGCTTCAATATACAGTTTACTCAATGATGAGCTGATGCATATGATCTTCTTCATCAGCATTGAAGACCTTGGCTTATTGAAGAACTTGGCCTATGCCTTCGCCAGGTCGAGTGGGTTGAAGTAAGAAACTGAAAGATTCATTCATCATGGTCTGCCTCTACCATACTCACGTGTTGGGTATAGAGATTCCACCAAGTATAGAGCCTGCTGCGAGGCGCCTGAGACTCTAATGTATTTGCCATCGGCATGTTCAGAATATGCAATCTCAGCCTATATCCATCGTATGGTATGGTATGGTATTTACGAGACACCGGAGTTGCCTTATGTTCCAGGGGAGGAGTGCCGAATCTATTTGAACATTTATTTCTCCACCCTCAGACTCTCACAAGTTATTAGTCCTGATGTAGTTTATTTCGACTATCAAAGCAAAACGTTATTCGTCGTAGGATCTTCATCTCCGAGTGAGACGTATATCGTCCAGGAAGAGAAGGAAAAACAAATAAAGTACCGAGTATTCCTTTTCAAACTACACAGACTCTATCCAGACCACTCTGTTAAGATGGTTGTTCTGATTATTGAAGTCCTTGCTGGAATGATGTCTTCTCTAGTCTCGTATATCAAGATTGTGCCGGCTTACCGCACTAAGTCAGGTATCTTGGCCGGACGCAGGAGGCGCCTGCGTCTGCTGAGAGCACATGATTCGTGGATCCAATGATCACTTACTCCACGATATGGGGAGTGGTCATTGGTTGATGATGCAGAGATGAAGCAGAGAAAGACGAATCGGAACTTCTTCTTATCCATAGATTCTCTCTCCCCAGAAAAAAATATTGTCTCTCGACACGCGTTTCGCTATTCAAGTTAGCATAATCAGGAGATGACTGAAGCTACTGAGCTTCATATGTACATTTCAAAATTGGCAACTCATCATCTATATTCATCGTTATAATACAAATTTCTATTGACTCTCCCTCCCTCATTCTCTATCTTTCTCACTTTCTTACTATTTCCTCTATCCCAGCCTTATTCTTGCTCTTCTATCTTTGAATATTATTGACTTACATTTTTGGATATTTGTAGGTACATGCTAGGAGAAGTCCATTATGGCGGAAGAGTCACAGATGACTTCGATAAAGTTCTGCTGAACACCTTTTGTAGAGTCTGGTTCAGTGACAACGTTTTTCACGATGATTTCATTTTCTACAAAGGTTATAAAATCTTCAAGTTCAAGAATACTTCGGAATATGTTACTCAAATAGACGGTTTTGCAACAACTGATCCTCCTCAAGCCTACGGTCTCCATTCTAATGCGGATATAACGTAAGAAATCAGTAATTTCTGTGAAAGAATTGAACTTTTCAGACAAACCTTGCAGATACCAGACGAACACCACTGTGGCCATGTTCGACCAAATGTTGGCCATCCAGCCTAAGGAATCTGGGGGTGGCGGTGGCGAATCTAGGGAAAGCGTTGTCGGTTCACAAGCTAAAGACATGTTGTCCAAATTGCCAAATAATTATGATCCGTTCGAAGTGAAAGAAAGGTAAAATTATCATTAGTTGATTATGCAAAAACTGACGCGACTAAAATTTTAGTACTTTTTGAAGTCCATTAGGTACTTTAAAGTAGAAGTTCAATTGCATAGTTTTGTCTTCATTTTACAGAACAAATCGTTGGCTTTCTGGTACATGACTTAGAGTGCACCAACGTGTCATTGGTGTGGTCTCTTAAATTCAGCAAGATATTTAATATGTTATTTTGGCCTATGGATTTTACCAGAAATCGATGGGAACAATATTTTGATCAATCAGTTGATCACACCTTTGATGAATTGGTTTCAATAGGCACTTTAGTTTTTGAAACATCTCTCTTTCTCAATTGGTTCAAATGACATAACCTAGTGAGTATAGCTGTAGTTTGAAGTAACTTTCATTCTAATTTAAATTATTTTCCCCATAACAACCCTTGGAAAGTCAAGTGTATTTGGTATGAAAAAAAAAACAGGAAACATATTCATGAATCATGAAGAAAGCACTAGGAAAATAGGTAAACCGTAGACACGTCTTTTTTTGCTCATTTGCTGTCATCAGTAGGTACGCTATAGCCAAGTGGTGACTCCGTGCATTTGTGTTGTTTTCTGCAACCAAAAGTGTTCCCAACCTTGCACTTGGGAACCGTACTGATGCCAGCTAATGAGCTAGAAACATGTGCCAATATAAAACAAACACTTGAAGGATATTGTTATCATCTCAAGTCCTGTCAGTAGTTTGATCAAGTATATTTTGATTGTGATGTATCATCAAATTACCTACGAACAAGTTGCATGAATGATAGCTCTTATTGAGAACGATAAAAGTAAAAGATATGTAGCTGGTAAGCGAGCTGCCAGAAGAAATTGGTTAGGATCATTGAAAAGCTGATTGAAGACGACCTAGGAGTACCTTCAGTATGGTTGATCGATTCATTGAATTGCAAACTTTGAGCAACCTGCTGTTAAAACACACTCTCTATTAAGAGAAGTAGGCAACACGTATGTAATTGATGAAATTTTATTGAATATTGAAAGAAGAAAATCTAAGAGTTAGTAGGCCAGCAACAGGACCGAAATTACTTCCGAGGCATTAAGCGGCACCAAAAAGTAATTCTTTTATCAACACACATTTTTATATCCGTTTTCTTTGAACTAACAAAAGTTGTTTCACTCACAATGATATATCCCACAAGCTAATAGTCCATACTTCGACAGATGTGAAATTTGTACACGTCTTTTGAAGGTTAGGGTTAACTGAAAATCATATGAATTTAATTCTAGTAACGCCATCTGTTTGTGAGCCTATGAACTTTTCAGTCCATTCTATAAAAAAGATACAATCTTACATACAATCTAAAATACAATGTTGTTATTCTGGTGTTATTTTGATTTCTTTGTCTAGTCGTACTGAAATTAAAATGATCAATTTATTTGAAGTACAATCAAAAAAGAAGTAGGTAATTGATAATTATTACTATGAAAACTCTTTTTTTTTTCACCCAGAATTCTTTTCAAAATTGTGCTTCCTAATGGAATGTGTATTGGTCTAATGTTTAATAAAGGAAATAAAGAAATTTTGTTGTTGTGTCTATTGTTCAAATTGTCCAGGGTTTGATTCCGGGTCAAGTCAAAATTTTTTATTTCCTTGACATAAAAGTGCTGGAATGACAATGTGAAATAATATTCCTCTCAGTTTGCTGCATGTGTACGGATTTCACTACTTTCTGGTTTGAAAATTAATACCTACCCATGTAAGTTGACATTTTCTGTGTTGACCATAGAAAAAATAATTTTCCATAGATTGCTAATGTAACAGTTCGCCTTATGAGAAGACGCCCTGTATTTTATTTTTAATTTTGTGGTCTCACATATTTATCTGAATAGGAAAAATTGAAGTTCATGGGGATACGATATCTTACTGAACGGATGTATATAGGATTTGTACGTGCTAAAGGCATATTTCTTAACCACAAAATACAGTGGGTTTATTCACAGTTACTTTGTAAGGGCCAGACGAAAAAACTCATTATTATTGATAGCTGGAGACACTTTGTTTATGAAACGCAGCTGGGTCTTTTGAAAAGTCAGCGATAAGCTGGGAACGTTATGCTAAAAACCACTTAAATACTTAACGAATCACGAAGCGACTGAAAGAACTAAATGATAGAATTGAATTCTCTGATTGGATGTATGGGCCGTAACTTTGCCATTCAATTTTGAGAAGGGAAATATCCGCTGACTGAGAAAAAATTTTGTCGCGAGAGATGGAACGCGAGGGTTCTTTTTTTTTAAGTTTGGGAGGTCGTGAGGTGTCCGTCGGTGATATTGGGTCGTCGAAGGGTCGATTTGAGAGAAAATAATTAGAGGGTTTAAGTTTGGGAGGTCGTGAGGTGTCCGTCAGTGATTTTGGGTCGTCGAAGGGTCGATTTGAGCAAAATCAATTAGAGGAGAATTTTTTTTTTGAGATAAAGTCGGAAAACTAATTAAGTAGTAGAAAGAAAGGGGTAACCGAGAGTTCAGTCGCGAGTTATTCGAAAAGGGTGATATTCAAGGTACTTTTGGGAGTTTGGGAAAAACCCGATTTTCCTTTCCTTCTTTTGGGTTGCAAATTCGACGAGTGAAGTTCGGAATTGGTGTTAGATTTAGTGAACCATAAAAGGATTAGCTGCGTTCTATAGCTGAACGGAGGAATAGAGCTATTGGTAAGTAAGTTTTAGGGTTTTTTCGTCTGGTGGCTAACCATATAATTTTATTGAAACACTGTGGGTGAATATTTATTTAAATAGTTTGTCTCATATAGAGTTGCCGAATAAAGGGTATGCTTATGAATATTAAATCGAATGCCGGTTGAGCATGCTCTTATGGTCTGGTTGTTAATTTGATGGTCTGGTTTCTTTTTGCTTATTTTTGTCGTTAATATTATATAATTTGTAAGTTTCGAATTTCTTATATATTTTTTTTTATTATACTTATCAACTTTGAAAGCGGTGTATTATTGCCGGTAATTATACTGGTAGGAGAGCAGGGGAAAAAGGGGAACATAGAGTATATTTATATCTCACAATACATGAGAGAACTCACTAGGAAAAGTTCATAAGAGGTATCAATGGCATATCCCGACAAAGCGCCTGGAAGGACTTAAGTGAAGAAGTTTTCTATACTAAAACAGTGCCTATTTGATAGGAGAAGCTAAGCCAAACCTTTGGAGGGTGATTACTTCTGCAGGCAACATCTAATATAGTTCTCTGGTAAGTATCATTCTTCGTTTCTAAATTTCAAATGGTGACAGCGGCTGCTCTAATTTTAAGTTTGGCTATAGTTTTCCCTAGCAAAAAGTATCTTCCGCTTTAAATACAGAGTTCAACCCCATCATAGGGGTTACACTAATACAATCCAAAAGGCGTTTGAAAAATAACATAAAAACATCTACCCATTATTTTACTAAAATAAATTTTACCACTGATATAATAAGGCATTCCAAGTTGTGTTATGATGCCAACGAATTTTTCCATGAAATTGAATGAATTTGATGTACCTATTCAGAATTCCGCGGTAAAAGTTATGAAGATTTGAATGGTAGCAAAATCTCAATTGCGTCAGTTTTTTCAATCTAGGCTATAACATTTTTATTCAACGGTTTTGATTTTCAGGTTACGAGCCATGAATCTATTGAATCCTCTAAATATTTTCTTGAGGCAAGAAATAGACAGAATGCAGAAAGTAATAACCTTGGTAAGGGCTACACTCAGGGATCTACTTTTGGCTATCGAAGGAACAATCATCATGAGTGAGGTTAGTGTCGATCTTGGAAAACACAGGTCAGAAAAAAATTGTGAGCTGGCATCTTCAACATCTAATTTGACTTCAATGTCCAACCGGTGGTGTTGTAATATATAAAGCCAATTTCGGATATTTTTTCCAAATTGGTTTTGTGTAGAACTCAAACACTATTGATAAAAACTTTCATTAATTAAAGGCATCTCATTAGAGCCAGATTCTCAAAAAATGAAATTTCATTGCTCTGTTCGAACTATAAATGTTCAATCTTAACTTCCAAAATGACGTATTGGTAGGGAAGCCTCGTTATTCTGATTTCCGTGGATTGAGTTTTTCGTCAATCACATACGGGTAGATCGTCGACCTACAGATATCCAGGATCCTGGTGGAGACTGACCCATCACAAATGGTGCATGGGATGGCGGAAGAACCTGGCGTCAGCTCCCATGCGGTTTTTGATGGTATAAAACGTATTGGAAGAGTCAGAGAGCCCGGAAAGTGGATGCCCCATGATTTGAACGATGAACAGAAATTGTCACGTTTCGAGGTCTGTTCTTCTTTGATTTTGAGCAACCAAAACGATCCTTTTTTCGATCGGATATTCACCCAGGGTTTTCCCGAAGGCGAAAACCCACCAAAAAAGACCATGGTTACTGTATGGTGGCCAGCTGCTGGTGTGATTCACTATAACTTTCTGCAAGCGGACCAAACCATCACAGCAGCAGTACTATTGTGAGGAAATCTACTACTTCATCGAACCCGATCAAATAATTTTTCATGCTGACGTGTTTCGAATTGAATAAGTATCCATTGTGATACCTACTACAGTTTAAAGTAGGCTCATAAAAACGGACAAAGCTTTTGAACCAACCTGATATCAATGTCAAATAATTTGTTCAACAATGATCAACAGTATTCAAAGCTTTACAGAGATCTAATGACAAAGTCCACATTTTTTTAAGTTCATCTAAATATATAGTTGTGAAATTTCAGGCATTAGGTGATGCTTTAGACAACATTTACGATGCTAAAGTGCCCGGTATGTGGCTTCGTGGATCATGGGCAGCAAGCTCGCTTGGATTCTGGTTTACTGAGCTGGTGGAACGAGATACCCAATTTAGAACATGGTGCTTTTCTGGTCGACCTGCGAGTTTCTGGATGGCAGGCTTCTTCAATCCTCAAGGTGCGTTTTAACAAGTGAAAGACACAAGTGTTCACTCCATCAGTTTTTTTTTTTTAGGATTCTTGACCGCCATGAAACAAGAAGTAGCGAGAGCACACAAAGGCTGGGCCCTGGATCAAGTGACGTTATTCAACGAAGTTACGAAAAATTCTAGAGAGGAAGTAACAAATGCGCCACCGGTAAATTCAGTTCAGATTAGTTGTAACAAAGTCAATTATATAGGGTCTTTCATAAAGCGCTTCCTATTTTTGAATTTCAATACATAAAAGTGAGTGTGAGATATAATCGAAATTTTTTATTCGTTCGAAAGACCTGTTGATGTCATTATGTGTGGAGTGTATTACATCGTCCAAATGTACGCCACGGCTTCTCTGGGCGAAGCGCATCCCAAACGTTCAATTTTCTATGACTTATAGCATACGTTGAGTTGGCTTTGAGAAAAAGTAGAAAAGGGTCACATCGCACGATCTCGGTGGCCAACAGTTCATATCACCTCCACGTGAGATGACCATGCCCTCAAATCGCCCGTGCAGCTGTGTGGCATGTAGCGCCCTCTTGTTGAAACCACAACAATCTGTCCTGGTTTTTTCATGAACTTTTTCCAGTAGTATCCAGCCAAACACGATAACTACAGTTACATTTTTATGTGAGCGACCTGAACATTTAATCGTTGCAATGGTGTGCATAAGCTTTGTCGGCAGGAGGTACACAACTCAGTCGTTATAGTGAAATCTGCATTTCTGGGTGCCTTCTTCCAGCGGGGGCGTGAGGGCGCGCTTGTCAGAAGCAGAAGCCATCTACTACTCTACCCTTTAAATAGAGATTTCCTTGAAATGTAGATGTGTATATAGTATATTTTAATAAAAAAGATTTTTGATTTGATTTTATTTGTTGAAACTACATATCGTTGGTGTACAGATCATCCTATTCAGGCCAAAAGAAGTTGGTAATCATCGACCTAGAGTGCTCGCCATTGACAGTGACAGCCTGGCCAACGTCGTTCTCAAAGAACTATGGACCGATGACGTCGCCATCCCAAAATCAACACCAAACAGTCACTTTTTCGGAATGCATTGGATGCTCTTGGATCTCATGTGGAGTATTGTTCCAAATTCAGCAATTTTGTCTGTTCACCTACCCATTCATCCACTAATGTGCTTCACTGCCTCACAGCGGCGATGTTTTCAGCAGATCTGAGACCAGTGGACTCAAACTTATCGACCACATTGCGAATAATCCTCTTAGTAGGACGATAACGGCGGACGTAAAATGTGCGATGCGTGTCAAAGTTCGGAACTCTCTGTTGGAAGTCCCTAATATAACTTCAAGTCTTAAATAGGTTTTCTCTATACAACATTACAAGAGTTTCAATATAGACCTAACGTCCATATTGGCATTGCTTCAGGCTTTGCCAAACAAACTTTGAACACCTAGATAGCAGGAAGATTTATGGACTTCTGGCAGAATCTTCCAGGATTGTTGGATTACAGTAGGGATGAACCATGATGTCTAATAGGCCTTCTTACAGGTCACTGTCATTTGAATCATCATATGCAGAGACTCGGACTGTCGGAAGACGGTGTGTGTCGCCTCTGTTTGGAAAATGATGAAACAGCGGGCCGTACTCTTACCATCACAATAAAAACTAATCGGCTTCGTTAAGAAGCTGGGTTTATTTGGTCGAGTGTGGATAGGTGTGAGCCACTGTAAACCCTTGCGGGTTGCGGGGGATGGGCGAATAGACCCACTCACTTTGGACCTAACCTAACCTGACCTAACGTCTATATTCGTTTGATGTTTTTGAGTTGACTTGAAAATTCATGTAAAAAAGCTTTCAATGTGGACTTTCACAAGAATGTATTGTTGAGTGTTCTAGTTCTCACTTAGAATGGATGATATGATTAAATAACTGATATCGACTTCAAAGTTGTGTAGATTGTTTTTGCTGAAAAATTTCTCCATCACTATAAAAAAGTGAATAACTTCTGAAAGTAGGAAAAAATATATACATCAAAACAAACTCTTTGGAAGACGTATGAGCACAGACACAAACTGAAAAAAATCCATCCAAAACAACTACTTTCAAATGTAATTAAGGTACACGAAAATTACTTTCTCGCATTCATTTTGAACTCCAAACATTCCTTTCAGAATTGAAACAGAATCTCCTGGAAGTTTCAGGCAAAAACAGTACTCTACTTTTCAACTGTCTTCACTGTCTTGATTGATGATATTTTCTTTTTTTATTATTATTAGGAAGGAGTTTTAGTGTATGGACTTTTCTTAGACGGTGCTGGGTGGGACAGACGTCTAGCCCGTTTGGCAGAATCGATCAATAAAGTACTTTACACACTGATGCCTGTTATCCACATATTTGCTGTTTATTCGACGGATCCTAAGCCATCAAATCTATACGTGGTAAGCTGCTGGTTCATTCAAAACCTACACCATTCCTGGAGTTTTAATTGTAATGTCCTAACACTAATTTGGAAGTTGTTCGCTTATATACATATGTATATATTTTTCCTCGGCATAGTCGAGTTTGATTTTAATTTGAGAATATTCATTTTGCAGTGTCCTGTTTACAAGAAATCACGAAGAACTGGTCTCAACTTCATCGTGCGTTTATATCTGAATACAGCCAAACCACCGGAACATTGGACTCTCAGAGGAGCAGCATTACTTTGCGATATTCAATAAATGTCAAATCTTATACTAATTTTAAATAAATAATTTAAATTTTGTTATTGACTTTGAACGTGTTTAGTAGTTTGAACACCCCGGATACAAATCGAAACGTTTTGTGATATATCTAAACAATACAAGTTTTTCACGCTATTTTATGATGGTAGAAAATATGGAATATAAAAAATGAATGACAAAGTATCATTAGAGAGTTTGTCTTCGGTGTGAATTATGAAAACGAAACTATAAAATGATAAAATAAAATAAACTTGAATGTGAAAGCTATCTTGAAGATATTCTTTATTTTTTTTTGAATCGGATCGTCACGTGTAATGAGAAGTAGATTCAGTACAACAGGAGATATTCAGGACTACGGTTGGATGCCGATGAACCACCGATAAATACGGACAAAAATTTTGAAATAACCTAATAATATGAATGACTGATATTTTTATTCCTTCATGCTTTGTCAATTCGTATCGCATTCGTGATTTTTTTATTCATTTCAGAGTATAACGCCATGGAAAATCGACTTGAAATGCTACTGATGTCTATATTTGTTTCGGATAGGGATCGAAAATGTTAACAACTAAGTTTGGCAGCCAACCGTTTACCTCTTAAACATACGACAGAGATGAGTAAAATTAATTTCTTTCCTGCATACGATCATAAATTAATAAAGTATATACCTACCAAGAAGATTAAACTTTTAAAAGTTTACCTATTGCACAAAATAAACAATTGTTTATTATTCTGTGCCTACGCTACGAGTTCTGTGGCCTCTAGGCGTATATGTAGTAGGCTGTTTCTGTTTGTTCTGCATTCTGTCAAAAATGTAGAAGTGTCAAACATTGGAAAAACACCGGCACTGGTTGAAGAATAGGATCGATTTTCTCATTTTCATCATTTTTTAAAGACATCGAGTTACGCCCTAACACCATGTCTCTCTATCCTCTAGAATCCAACCCAGACGTAAGTAAGAACTTTGTAAATCCAAATTGAAATTTACGTATTTTCTTTATAGGTTCTGAACAAGGTGAGTGAACATTTTTTTCTCCAAAGATCTTCGTACATACTTTGATTTCAGTTCATGAGCTTGGTAGGAGTACCAGATAGATACAAGATTGTAGATGTATACGGTCTTGATAGTGATGCTCTAGCTTGGATACCAAGACCAGTTCTAGCAATGATCTTGCTATTTCCTTGTAGTGAAAAGGTGAGGTCCTGATGCCAATATCCACTGTCAATTTCATATTGTTTTAAAATTATATCACAATATTGTCCAATACAGGGAATGCTATGATTTTATAAATTTTCTGAATTGTGTAGGTACAGTTCAAGATACCAAACTGTTCTCAAATCATTGTTTAAATAATCTGCAGGAAGGCTGAATTATTTATACCTTCATTTTTTTGTGAAGCATGAAAACTGCCCAACGTAAAAGAGTTATTTCTTTAGGAAAGATTATTGTTTGGGAAAAAGACGATTTGGCTTTCACTTCTCTTTTGTTATTCTGGAAATAACCCTTGAAAAGACTTATGAATATTCCGTGAGAGTATTTCTAGAATGTTGATGTATAATTCTATAATTTATTATGAATATTAAAATTTGATCACTTCATGAAATAATCCACAGAAAAGAGGTTTTTGAAATTAATTTTCTCTTTGGTATAATTCCAAATTTGTAGCCGATTACATACCATACTACATTGGGAGGTAAAATAATGTTTGATAAGAAAAGGAAGTTATTTTTTTGGAATAAGTGTTCAAACTTTTAAGGAATCTGTTTCTATATATATAGTGAGATCTATAGTAAGGAATCAAATAGATTGTAGGCATTCAATAAAAGTGTGTACCCACCATCTTATTCCTTCCAGCTGGAGTATGTAGATGTGAAAACTTCAAATTTATAACTTATTTTACCTTCACGGTAAGCTAATTTTCAGATGCATTATTAATATCCCCTATGAGTTTACCAGTTCAAAGTAATCCATTTTATTTTTTATATCGATATCAAATTTACAGAGTTTGAATATTTTCTCTTCTATAAACATTTGTCTGTTCCTTATTATTTCTGCCAATTACTATCAACTTATAATTTTCTTCACATTTGTTCTTGTAATATTTTGTTTTGTTGTTAAACATCGAGTATCGTTATATCTTTTGAGTTCAATAACGGTTTATTTTGCAGTACTATGAACATGTCAAGAAAGAAAAAGAGTTGGTTGAGGATAGAGGCCAAGCAATAACTCCAAGTTTATGGTTCATGAAACAAAAAGTATCAAACGCTTGTGGAACCATTGCTTTAATCCACAGTCTAGCAAATAATGCAGACAGGTAATTTAGGGTGTAGGAAATACATTTAAATGATAGGTTTTCAATTTGAACCTACGATATATCAATGTATATAAACTTGAATTCATCGTGTAATATTCTCAGGAGTAATATTTCAAAAACACTGATAATCACTACTTTATATGAAGTCTTATTTACCTTCATTGATTTCTCTTGGGCGCCTGGACTAAACATTTATTTTTTTCATTGTCATAAAACTCAATCAAATATAAACTGCTAATTTAAAATTTATTTTGAGAACAGTATAAAATTAAATTGATCATTTTACCTAGTGGCAGTTCATTATTTCAATAATGTATTAAATAACTTAGTTGCTGGTCAGGATTCTAATAATCTTAGTGCATTTTAGAATCGAACTCAATGATGGAATTTTCAAAAAATTATTAGAAGAATGTGCAGAAAAAACCCCAGAAGAGAGAGGCGAAATGTTGTCCTCGGCTGGGAGTGGTTCTGAAGCATTCAAGTTGATAAGTGCTCATCAGGAACTTGCTATGGAAGGTCAAACAGAGGTATTGTTGTTCTTTTTCCCCTTTTTTTTTTCAATATATCACATGATTCAGAAAAGATTTTCATCAAAGGCAAACACGAGGTTTTTCACCTCGATGTTAGCAAATAAAGTAACAAGTTGTCAATGAACAATAATGCATTAAGAGATATACTATGCTTTTTCGAAACATCTGAGACGTCGGCAAAACTTGCATTTTTTTTGGGGAATATCCACTGACATAGAATTTGTATACTTCACACTTTGTGTACTACAAAAGTATTTGCAGAACATTTTTTGTTTACAAAACAATATTGTTTGAATATTTCATACAGAAAAAAAATCAACCTGTTTTTCAAAAAGCATTTTTGCCTCTCAAAATCTTTTATTATACTTTCACTCATTGATTTGGTTTGGTTTGGCGTGTCTATTTTCACTCGATTGATTTATATATGCATTTTATCCATATTATTACACAGTTTTATATGATGAAAAGAGAAATGAAAATGTCTATGTTTTTGACCACTTTTATTTGTAACTAACATTACTGCAGTTTTGTCCTATACGGACATTTTCAAACTTATACTTGTATAAGTGTATAAGTATAAGTTTGAAAATATACGGATAGGACGAAACTGCAGTAGCGTTAGTTAATGAAAGTGGTGAAAAACATAGAAAATGTCAATTCTCTTTTCTTCATAACAACTTATAAAAATGTATAAGTTTGAAAATATACTTATAGGACGAAACTGCAGTAGCGTTAGTTAATGAAAGTGGTGAAAAACATAGAAAATGTCAATTCTCTTTTCTTCATAACGATTATCTACCACGTAGTAATTGCTACATTCATTAATTTATTCAAGTCAAGATGTTAATCTGTTTATTTTATAACGGGTGTGAAGTTATCCTCATCCACAGAGTACAGTGAGGAAAAAATATTGATCTATATTTTTTTAGTTAACGACTTTGTACACCTACTATTTTTCAATATGATAGGTTTGTTGACTGACTTAGGGAGGGGTGAAAATGGAGTGGAAATATTTATAAAATTCGTAACATGAAAAATCGACTTCGTACACCTATCAAACTAAGATATGTTATTCCTAATGACCGAATCGACGAGAAAAATATCACGCTATAATTTTACAGGCCGTCTGAAGGAGTGGAAACTTCCAAAAATCGTATCATCGAAACTTGATAATGAACACCCACAAGATTGAGATATGTTATTTCTGATGACTGAATCGACCCCATTTCCACCTCCTCAGACGTCCTGTAAAACTATGGCGTGATATTTTTCTCGTAGATCCGGTCATCAGAAAGCATTAAATGCGGAGTACCTCAGGGATCTGTCCTCAGTCCTTTGCTGTTTTTGTTATATATGAATGATCTCGCATATATATCGATTGAAGTCAAATTCACAAGTTTTGCTGATGACACGTCTATACTTTGGCATGGAAAAAGCACTGATGCACTAAAAATTATGGTAGAGCATGATGTAGGCAAAGTTCAACAATGGTGATGCCAATTTATTATCTTTCAATATATCAAAGACAAACATAATGTCTTTTAAATGTTACCCGGACCATATAATTCTTGAAGAACACATTATTGATCATAAACTAGAGAACACATATTTAGGCCTCTCAAGCTGTTATGCAATAAGGTCTATCTCTAACTCTTCGGACTGTCACTCTGCTAGAAAAGCATATTTTGCACTTTTCTTATCTCACTTGCGGTACGGAGTTTGTTTCTGGGGGATCAGCTTTCAAAACTTAATGAGTCAAGCTTTCACAATTCAAAAATGAGCATTACCAGATCTAGAGTCCAAGATTCCTGTAAGCCCCTTTTTTTAACTCATCACTTAACAGTCTACTGCCTCTTTATTTTAAAAACAGTCTGCCTAGTGCACTAAAAGCACAAAGATAACATCTTGAACTGAACTCACAGTTATGCCACTCGTCTCACATTCAATATTCCTCTTCCTATCCCGTCAGCAGCACAAATTAAAAACTCGATTCTTTATAGTAAAAAATATTTCAATCATCTCCCCCTGCAGTTGATTCGGTCATCAGGAACAACATATCTCAGTTTGATAGGTGTACAAAATCGATTTTTCATGTTACGAATTCTATAAATATTTCCACTCCATTTGCACCCCTACAAACAGCCTAAAAGCTAGGACGGTTTTTTTTTCATTCAGTCAGTCAACAAGCGTGTCATATTGAAAAACAGTAGATGTACAAACTCGTTGAATGAAAAAAATAATAGTTCAATATTTTTTTCTCAGTGTACTCTGTGGATGTGGATAACTTCACACCCGTTATTTTATAAAGCATCCTTTCCTTTTACAAATAAAAAAAAGATCTGATCAGCGAGAGATCTTGTTTGAATGAAGATGGAAAATAGAAAGCTCTACAAAAGCGGGTTGTCGACAATTTCTCATATTTTGAGGCCAATTTATGACGTAAAACTATCATTCAACAGTTTATTATGATTTATTTTTGAAATTTCCACAGTTTCTATCAAATCTAACAATGATGTTCATAGTCGTACTGACATTTTTTATAAACAAAAAATCACTTAAAAAACTTTATCGGGTTGTTGGAATTGCCATATGGCAGATAAAAAGGAATATTTCGGTATTATATATCGGTATTAATGTGTTTGTCTTCAGGAAACTATTGAATGTACCGTCATTTTGTAGTAGATGAAGATATTGACTTCATATTCTAGTGTTGTGAAGTACTTATTCATCAGGATCTTCAAAATGATGTGTCAGAAACCCCCTTTCCATTCAATTCAAACATACGGTTTCATCTATAAATTTCACTTAAAATTTAAGCATTCATTTCATTATCCCAAATTTCAATTTTTTGAGTTGACCCGTTCAAAAAATAAAAGGAGGGGGACATTAAAGAAATGCACTGTATGTTTCAACCTCGATTTGGAAATGGCCCTGTTTGATGTTCCGCATAGTGAAATATTAAAATTTTCATATGTCGAAGTTGAAGAATGGAATATGAAAAGTATCTAATGTATTTACAGAATAATTATGAAACTGCTTTCATTGAAAACACTTTTCACTCGCAAGGACAAAAATGCTGTATCTCAACGCGCGTTTTGCATCATCAGGAGATGGTTAGGACTACTCTTCTAATGACTTTGCCATTGTTATACGAATCATGATCTTTCATAATGAGGGTCACTCAATCAATTCTTTGTAACTAATGTTGACTGCTACTTGACTGCTAATCTTCGCCTACCTGTGATCACTTAAGAGCGCGAAAAGACGCATCTGAAAATGTGTTGTCATGTACTGGCTTTAACAGTTTCAAGTATTCCTCACTTATTCTGTGGTCGTTTTCTATGACATGTTGAGCAACAGTGTATTTCTTTCGTCTATGAAACCGAATATGTGAAACATGTTTCTTGTGAGCTATTAGAGTCCTGTTAAAATCTGTCAGTCTTTCCGTCAACCAGCTGTCGCCCCTACGAACGACAACTTTCAAAAGTCGGAACTTATGCGGGCTAAGGACTAACGAGGTTTTACTTTTGAACGTGAGATTCCTAACATAGATCGCGGTCGATTGAGTGAGTGGAGCAAACCACCCACGTCAATCCACCAAGCTACGTCCCGCTTAGTTTTATTGTAATCCTCACAACTTATTTCGTGAATCCCAGACTGTTTCTTTTCTCACACTTGTGGGAGTGTACGAGCGGTTTTGGAAGACACATTCATATGGAAAAAATATGAATTTTGAAAATTCGTATTCTTTAAAAGTCAAGGATGTATGGAGACACTCTCTGAATTTGGTCTTCCTAATGAACTCATCCACTTTGTTCGGAGGATACCCGTTACCTTCAGCTGCTTTCTTGATGAGTGTTTTCTCGATATCATATTTTATCTTTCTTTGCTCAAGGAAAACGTTGTGAGCAATGTTTCGAGTTGTCAGTGATATATCTGAAAGTGGTAGCATTTCTCCTTTTAGACACAAACTGAAAGAAAGTCTTCCTGAAACAGCTACTTTCATATAAACATTGAATTACACGAAAGAAAAAAATTTCTTTCGAAACAAATACTTCTATATGAACACTGAATTATACAAAAGATACTTTTCTCTACTCAGTTTGTATTTCAAAAATTCGTTGTGGAATAAAAATCAGATATCATTCACATGAGTTCTACTTTAAATGAATGGTAATAAATTGCACTCACATGGAACACTGTCACCCTCACTGGTATACACCGATGTTTCGCCTTAAGACACTTGACCCAAGGCTCTTCAGTACCAAATTGGATAACATTATAGAAAA